CCTCTAAGAAAGACACTCCTGCGAGATTGATTGGGAAAAGAACTTGTTCTTCATTGTTCCAATGGAACATCCCCAAAGTCTCCATATATTTCATTTTGAAATGACGTCTTTTTCAAAAAATAATTACGTCTATCGCTAGCCCAGACTTAATCGTGGTACTTGCCGACATGCGCTTATCATCTCCCACTGACGACTCTAGCATCCTTCGAGGAATTCACCCGTGTTGAAAAGGCAACTCTCCAACTTAAGGTCTGTAAGACAATTCAACAGAACATCTTCTTTATTTTGTGTTTGCCTTAATCGTAGTATTGCACTACCAATTCTTAAAAAAAAAAAAAACAATACTTACAAATTACCCCATATAAGCCTACCTCCCTTTCCCCTTCTTGTCCTCTTCTTTGTTGTTGTTTTTTCCTTTTCTTTTTATTCACCTTATCTGTAAGTTCCTTCCAAAAAGCCACCACAAATGTTTATTGTATACCTTCTCATAAATGACACCATAACTCGATGAGAGAGACACCAAATTATCACTATTTAGCGTAAACCATTGAAACCTGGAAATGAGAATAGGCTAATGGTAGACCACATAGGTTTGGTAACTGTAACTCCCCGATTTTTCTCTTCTTTTTGGAGACGTTAATTGATATAAAAAAATTCAAATAAAATAACAGAACACTAATTATCCCAATAAAATTTTATTTATCAAATAAATCTGTTAATATAAATAAATCTCCCAATATGATTAAAGCATTAGTTACCGTCTTTAATACTTTGATTATCTTGTTCTAATATTTTCTCTAAAATCAATCTTAAAATATTAAATAAAACGAGAAAGTATACAATATGATAATGAAAAATATGCTCAAGGACATTGCATACCAAATAAATGAGTATCACAAAGTATCTCAATCAACAGATGCAAATATTATATTTGCATATCACACGTCATGCAGGATTTTAACACAGATCTGACACCTCACCAATCATCCCCTCCTCAACCTGATCTCACGGGTCTCTTAGTTGGCAATGTATCGGCTATTAGCTGCCAAGATCCTATCTCAATATCCAAAAAGCATGATCAATAAGATCAAAATATTCAACTTTATTTAATCGAAATTCTAAAATAACGATAGTACAAGTTGGAATACAAATCAGAAGATAATCAAAAAAATACTCCTTGTAAAGAGATTTAAGGAGAGCATATTGCATACCACCTCTTACCATTATTTGAATTCAATAATTCTGATTTCTATTTCAATCTTTTTCTTCCCCTCGGTTTAAACTAAAAACACCCACTAAGATTTGTTTTCTTTCTCCCTCTCTTCCTCCTTGTTCTCGACTAAAATGGACACTCGCACCTATATTTTTGTTCCTTTCTCTTTTACTCTCCCTCATTCTTGGTTTCCAGTAAGCAAGAACACACACACACACATACACTATTTTATGAATTAAACACACACACACATTTTTATACCATTAATTACACACATCCACATTTTCTGCAATGTATTCAATACTAGCTGAATTTCTTTATTTTTATTCTTTCTCTCTCTTTCTTTTTCTTGAACTTGTCTTGTGTCTTTTCCTTTTTTCAAAGTTTTCACGTGGGTGAAGACCAAAGAATTATAAAAGTTAAGATATTTATATTTTACTCCCCTTTGTTTCACTTATTATACATATCAACCACAAAACTTAAATATTCCTTATACTTTCACATCACAACTCATAATATTTTATACTTAAACTATTTCTAAAAATTTGAAATTTGACAATCTACCCTCCTTAAAAGAATTTCGTTCCCGAAATTCCTTAGTTCACCAAGAATCCAAAAATTTGTTGGGGTGCAAAGTATAACACGAGAAAGAAAAAGAATATAAAGTGTTTATTGTTCAAAAGAAATGGGTGTTGTTGAATTTTTTTCAATAAAAGTATAATTACACTAACTTTCTCTCAACTCATTTATCAAAATCATCTCCCAATGCAAATAAATCTATCAATATAAATAAATCTCTCAATATTATTAAAGCATCAGTTACATCGACATTTCCTCGTCTTTAATACTCTGATTATCTCGTTCCGATCTTTTCTTTAAAATTAACCTGAAAATATTAAATAAAGTGGAGAAATATACAATATGACAAGGAAAAATATGCTCAAGGACATTGAATACCAAATAATCGAGTATTACAAAGTATTTCAATCAACAAATACAAATATCATATTTGCATATCACACGTTATGCAAGATCTTAACACAAAGCTGACACTTCACCAATCATCCCATCTTAACCCGATCTCACGAGTCTCTTGGCTGGCAATGTATCGACTATCGGCTAGTGGCTGTCACGATCCTGTCTCAATATCCGTAGAATATGATCAATGAGATCAAGAACACAATTAATGAGATCAAAATATTCAACGATATTCAATCGAAATTCTAAAATAACGATAACACAAGTTGGAATACAAATCAGAAGATAATCAAAGAAATACTCTTTGCAAAGAGATTTAAGAAGAGCATATTGCATACCACCCCGTTCCTCAGAATCATTATTTGAATTCTATAACTTTGATTTCCATTTCATTCTTCTTCTTCCTCTTGGTTTGAACTAAAAACACCCACAAAGATTTTTTTTTTTCCTCTCTCTCTTCCTCCTTGTTCTCGGCTCAAATTGACACCCATACCTATATTTTTGTTCCTTTCTGTTTTACTCTCCCTCACTCTCGATTTCCAGCAAGTAAGAACACACACACACACACATTTCTACACCATTAATTACACACATCTACATTTTCTACAATGTATTCAATGCTAGCTGAATTTCCTTTATTTTTATTCTTTCTCTCTCTTTCTTTTTCTTTATCTTACCTTTTCTTGTCTTCTCTCTTTTCTTTTTTTCAAAGTCTTCACGTGGGTGAAGTCCAAAGAATCATAAAAGTTAAAATATTTATATTTTATTCCCCTTTATTTTACTTATTATATATATATCAACCATAAAACTTAAATATTTCTTATACTTTCACATCAAAACTCATAATATTTTATACTTAAACTACTTCTAAAATATTTTTGATTGAGGTTATGTTCCCTAGCAAATTTGCCAGTTTTTGACTTGTAAGGTGAGGGTGTTATTTACAAGCATGATCATGTATGTGTGTAATTATGTGACAATGGAATTAGTGTTGTTTGTTTGTTTGTTGTATTTGTAATTTTGATTTCAAGAAGCTACATATTTCAAAACGAATGGTAATTGTGTAAGTCATTAGAAAAGTTATAAAGGATCAAAATTTTGTTTCAAAACATTCAAAACGTTTTTGTTTTCAAGAAAATCAAAACAAATTAATAATAAAATCGAAATTCTAATATTTCAAGGTGTTTCATAATGCGTCGAGGTATTTTGTAATGTTTCAATGTATTTGTACAATTATTTTGAAATGTTTCAAGATATTTTAATATATTTTGACCAATATTTTGAAGAAATAAATCTTAAATTTTTTTATTCGATTTTCAAAATATTTTTGAAACACGTTGAAACGTTTCCGTTTCTTAGATGACTGAAACAATGTACAAAAATAAATTTTTTATCATTATCTATAACATATGTTATATTAGACTTGGGGTTGCAAATAAAACGTATGTTGTATTAGGTTTAGCGATAGAAATGAATCGAATTGTTCACAAAAAGTTAGGGATTGACTCGTATAGAATTTATTGAAGTTAGTTTTTATTATAAAAAGGAAAATTGAGTTCTATTTTAATTTTAAAACTCATTTGATAAACGAGTCCAGCTCAAATTAGTAATAACTTGATTAGTGAAAATATATGTCAAATATAATGTAACATAATATACATTACCTAGAATGGTATTTTAATTACATTTAATAATGCATTTACGCAAGTCAAGTTTGAACTTCAAGGCAAGCTTGAACTGAATTTTAAATTCAAACACAAGCCCAAGTTTAATACGTCTAGTAAGATAAATTGAATCAAGCACGGAGTTGGATAAAAAATTAATTAATCGAATACTTTAATATAATCTGCTACGAAACTAAAAGTAAATCAGTTCATACCCTTTTTTTTTTTACTAGAAAACATTACAATATTTCTACTTAAAAATAAAAGTGTCATATGTCCTTATAACTCTAAGATGTATGCAGTTGAGCCCATATGGGACCCATCTTGAAACGCACATACCGATATTTTTTTTTTGTAACAGAGAATACTACAATACTTGTAGTTAAAAACAAAAGAGTCATAAGTCTTTGTAATTCACACACATATCCAAAAACTATCCCAATCCGAGTTGGGATGGCCATCGGTTCATACCTTGGAAGCAACTCAGTTGAGAGAAACGTAGAAGTCTTACATGCGTAAAACGTGGTCTTTTCGTTTTCTTTTTTTTTCTTCCGGTCTATTTTAAATTAATGATGGTGTCGGTGGTGGGTGTTATCTGATACCCACTGGGAGAACACACTTGAAAGGATTGACATACGTGGACAACTTTAGTTTAGATGTCTACCTCCAATGACACATCAAACTTAAGTTTTATTTTGTGGCTATAGATTAAGATTCGACAAACAAAAATCTTCAGCAGGAGTTGGCGTTTTAATCTTATCTCTATATATATTTTTTTCTATTCGTTTCTATCACATCGTATATTACTATTACAAATTGAATTATTTAATTATTTTAATTTGTGGCTCAATATATTTTTATTTTAGACATTATTCATATACAATTATGTACATATGTTGATATTTTCTTTAAGATCCTGTATTTTGAGAAAAATTGTCGGGTTTTTTTTTTAAATAATGGGTAAAAGTTAATTTCAAATTATATTATTAAAAAAGAGGAAAATAAAACTTGTTATTTGATATAATGAAATCAATTTTTTAGACTTTTAAAATTTATGTTTTATTGTATTTTCAGGCAAGAGTTATGACCAATAAATTACTAAGTTATGATGAATCAATGAGAGAGTTCTCAAATAATCACACTTGTATATATCTCTTTTTTTTGAGGGAGAGGGGATGAAGTTGGAACCCACAACAACTTGGGAGCGGAACTGAGCCTTTATCGTTGGTGCATTCCCTCACCTCAAGGCTCATTATCAATCCAAATATTATGAATGATTAAATAAGTAGATGCGATTCAAGCAGCATCACTAAGGATGTAAAGTATATAATAACAATAAGGGAAGTCCTTGAACAACCAACACTCATGCACTTATTACATTACTTGTGATACACAACCAAACACTTATTTTTATGCATACATTATTCAAAGATATACAAACATATACATTCACGAAATGCCAGTACTTGGTTCCCTTTGCCGTGAATTTCTTTAAGCCCCAACCGTGGTGATTGTGACAAGAGAGTCGATTTCGCTTCTGGTCCGGCTGAGTGTCTTCTCATCTTCTCCGCCAAACCATATTTCTGGAATTACTTGAACCAAATTATGGACTGTTTCCAACGCATAATCGGCCTCCTTGCTCTTCACAGTTTTTCCAACCTTTATTAAATAAATTGAACTAAATATTAGGATACATCTAATGTAAAAAATGAATAACTAATGACTAATTGCAGACAATTCCATAATGTAATCATTTGACAATCCATAGAGAACTTTGTCATTTTCTTATTTTTCATATCGCAACTCGAAGCCAGTGGATCACGACTTTGAATTTTATCATCACTCTTAAATATTAATTGATTGGACTTCCAGAATCGCGCGCACACAATTACATGCAAAAAGAGTTTGTAAAAAAGATTGCAAGGGTTTTATATAATGCATTATAATCTAAGTGGCTGCATCCATATCCATATCAATGAGTATTTAATTAATCGGTATTCTTTATTTTATAAAAATTTTAATTTTTTTGAGGTCAAAGGTTCAAGTTCTCTTCCTTTTGTCCAAAAAAAAAATAATTGCATCCATACGTAGGTTAGCGTGTCACGGAAATCCACGACGTAAAGGTCTACCATCCTCATTTAGTCCAAACCATCCGATAAGTCCAAACCATCCAAGAAGTCCAAAACATCAAAATTCAACAATAAACAACTGCCCTCATGTTTCCCAGGCATACTAGTATATGGTCTTAATCTCACAAATTATCCATTTTACCATTAATTTTATCATACACTTTCTATTTAAATTAGTCTCATCTTTATCTCAAAATTTGATCACGTAAGAGTGTTTAGGCACAATATTAAATAAATTTAAATACTTCGTCGGTAATTTTGGTAAAAGACGAAACTAATTCATTTATTTTGGTAAGTAATTTTTTTTATTGACTGATTAATTAAACATTCTGTATAACCTACCAAAACAGTTCGAAGCCCCACGGCTTTGCCAGCGGCAACGTTCCGGACACTGTCATCAAGAAATAACTGAAAAATACAAAGACAAAACAAATCAAAACACTTCTTTCACTCTGAACCGTTGACGATACTCAAAATCAAACCTGGTCCTACCGTACGACGAGGATCGACTACAGCGACGTCAAGAGCTGTCTTCATGGCGTCAACTGAAGGTTTGAGAACAACGGGAAATTCATCGGGACGAGTCGATTTGGAGAGGTTAGAGTTCATAGTTTCAAAGCATATGATCTCTTCAAAACAATCTCTGATTCCAAGACGATCCAACACCTTCGTCGCATGAATTCTATCTGAATTCGTAAAAATCTGGAAAATTAACATTGAAAAAAAAGGATTCAATTTCTTAACAGTTCATATAAGATGATCATATCATATAGTTGCAATGTACATGCGTATGTATAGGTTGTTGTAGCTTACGATTTTTCGTTGATTGATACTGCGCAAAAGGTTTTGTAGTTTGGCGTCTGGGTTGATCAAATCGTACGGCAACCTTCCGTGCACGAAACTGTTTCGACAGTTTTTTATTAAAACAACATAAGGATTGAAATTAACAATTAAAACTCTGAAAAATTGCTTGATTTGGATGAGAATGAGGATCTCTAACCCGTGGTAATCGTCAGCGTCAATATCATATCCCAATGCCTTCAACGAATCAATTTACAAAAATCAAACCAAGCTTAATCAGTAGTCTATTTGTTAATTACAGAAGTTTATACGGTAGATCGTAATTTAAGGTTGAAATTAAGCAAGTTCTTACTCGTAAACCAGCGAGAGAGCTTCCGTAAGTTTTAAAGAGCTCGATACGCAGCGTTGAAGCTTTTGTCTCTGGAAATCCACATTTCTGGACAAGAAAATCTGTATATATTCAAACAAAATTTGGTTAATTAGATTAGAGCCCAAATTCTCAAAAACTTCTGGTAATTTTGTGAGGTTTCGAAGAACTTGAAATTAAACTTTCGAACCATCAATGTTTCTTTTGGTTGCTTCGCCAATCCCTATCTTGGAGGAGTATAGAGTTTCATCTAAATCTGCATACAAAAAGCCAGGAAAAAAAAAACACACATACATTTCGCAAGAACATAAAAGTTCAAATTCGTTTCAATTCTTTACTGATTCGTAGTACAGAGACAGAGAAGAGGTATACCAAAGATGATGCAGTCGAAAGGAGAAGACGAATCACGACGAGCATTACTGAAAGAATCCATGGCTAATCGAAGAAGAAGAAGAAGAAAATGAGCTGAATTTGAAAGAGAGTGAGAATCAGAGATGATAATTTGGAGATTCTTTTCGTCTATGAGTTGGAATGATCGAAATGCAAGGCTTTAGCATTGTGGTGAACAAAGCTATTTATAGGCGAAGAAAGGAGAGAGAGAGATGGATAGAGCCGAGCATAGCAGAGAGAGATGGTGGTGATGACTCAGACATGGAATCTACGGTTATGTTTGGTATGTGTCCAGACACATGGAAAACATGTTTGGTCATATTTTTTCAATCTTTAATTTTTAGAAAAAATTGAGAATTAAGATGAATTTTTAGATAACATGTTGAAGCTGTTTAGCCTAAATTAGAAATAAATTTTCAGGAACATAAAAAATACGCCCAATTAATGAGATCTCACCATCCAATCTCATTAACTACAAAATAGGAGCACCGACGATTAACTCTAGTTGCCTTCTTCTTTAATGCCGAAGTTCAACGACAGCATATGAGCATCACAAAGGCCAAAGATCGACAACGAACAATTATAGTCTTCTCTCACACAATTCATCTACGCTATTTCTTTTCCTGCAGCAGATTTGAACAGATTTATATATATACAAAGATATGTGTTTATATATATATATATGTATTATGTGATGTATATAAATATGAGTGTGTGAGGGTGAGATGGAATGAATGCGTCGGTGGGTCTGCGATGCCTGTACGTGGGGGTGGGTGTTTGTTGGCTCTGTGTGTAGCTGTTGTTGGTATGTGATAATGTGGAGAGAGAGAGAGGACATTAGACAGTGGAGTTATGACGGAGAGAGAAGGTACAAAAGTATATTCGGTTTTTTTTTGGCAGAAATAATAAGTTAAAAATTAATTTTATAGGTTATTATTCAAATAGATTTTAACAAGATTATTGTTCAAATAGAGGTTCAAACGATGCGTGTATGTGTGGGTAGGTGTTTGTTGGCTCTGGGTGTGTGGCTGTCGTTATGTGAAAATGTGGAGAGAGAGAAGACCCTAGTTAGTGGACTGACTGATGGAAAGAGAATGTACAAAAGTATATTCGGTTTTTTTTTTTTTTGGTAAGAGTAATTAGTTAAAAATTAGTTTTGTGGATTATTATTCAAATAGATTTTATAATTTTTTATTCTTTAAAATTATTTTTAAAAATATATAATCAAATAAGTTTTGTAATTTAAAATTTTTAAAATCACTTTTTTTAAAAATTATTTTTTGAGATCTAAACCAAAAAGACTAAACTATTCTGGATAATGAAAACGACTTTGATTTGAAAGCCTTGGAGAGAAGGGTCCCACACGCTAGCTCCCAAAAGCAGAGGATGCATCTTTCCGTGAGGACGAAAATACCCCTGACAAAATAAATATTTTTTTGTTTTCCGGGTATAGAAGAAAGTTAATTATTATTGTTATTGCTTATAATATCTTAATATTTGTGTAACAGAAGATTTACTGCATATATGATATGTAATTGATGTTCTCAAATGCATCAAAAAAAATAAATAAATAAGGTTAGTAGTTTGGTTACGATCACCAGGACGAGTTTCGGTTTCGAATCTGACCATATTCCTTTCTTATAGTAGTGTCTGACAAAAAAAAAATTTCTAAAAAAAAAAGTTAAATTTAAGTTGATCCGTTGATTCAATTGATATTACAAAATCCATTCAAATATAATATTAATTGACTTTTCAAACATACTTTTTTGACCGACATAATAAGTATTCTTTGTTGTTTTTTTGCTATGATTAAGATGCAATTGAATTGTTTGAGTAATGATGCACTCGCTAAATTTTGGGATTAATTTGGCCTTTAAATTTAGTCTCAAAATTTAGTCAGCCTAGTATTATTGAAATTTTTTTTTAAAGAGTAATATTACTTGAACTTAAAAAATAGATTTAATAATCTCAACCATTAATTTCACTGTGGTTCCCAACATTTATTGAAACCCACTATCTATTCAATAGTTGAGGTTATCAAGTATAATTTTTAAGTCTCCTTTTTAAGTTCATGTAACATTACTCTTAAATTTATGACTGGTATAAAAATTAAATGAAAAAGATATTTGACGACATCCAAATTCACATGGGATTTATAAAGAAATTGAAACATTATTGATGTTCTCAAATGTATCAGGAAAAAAAAAATGAAAGGAAAGGCAAATTTAACTTACTTGTTAGTTTAATAACATTTTGGTTACTTTCAGTAAAGTTCCTAATAGGTCCATTCATATATTAATTGACAGTCCAAAATTAGTGTTAGACACTCCAAAACATGAAATTTTATTCTATCATCACACACAAACAAAAATTATCAAATTAATGTATTTTTGACTGTTAGAGTGCCGAAAATATTACCATTATGTATTTATTGAATAATTTTTCTTCAAGAAAAAACAATTTAATTTACAAAACTTTTAACATCTCAAGATCTAAGAAGGGTTAAACAATTTCATTTTCAGCTTCATTTCTCGTTAAGGAATAACAATTTCATTTTGTCTTTTGAATTATATAAAAAATATTTACTTTGTCGAGACATGTCAATCATTTCCATCCAAAAAAATAGCAGATATTCCGATTGGGGTAATGAAAAATAATTGAAATAATTAAAGATGTAATGTGAAAAATTCAAAAGTTCAAGGTGCAAAGTGAAATTAAGTTCATAGTTATGGGGGTGAATTGTAATTTACCTATTAAAAAAGCAAAAGAGGGGCACTGTAGGATTTTTCAAGTCTTTGAAGCTCCATGACACGGTAAAGGCGTGACAAATGCGTTATGCCTGAGAGAGGGTTCCCTTAAATTTTAAAAATGAGTTCTTGACCACTTTAGTTTAGTGAATAATTATTGAAACCATTAACATAATTTCCCATACTAAGAGTAATATTCTACAAACTTACCAAATTGACTAATTATTTTTACCCGTTGATATAATTTACTGACAGTAAAACTTGAACCTATTAAGTGCTCCTGACTTTGATTTTAAAAATTACACTGAAATTATAAATAAATAAAAAATTAAAGTTGCTGCTACAACTTAATATGGTACTTTTACAATAAAAATGAGGTTATTAGAACCCATTGTAACATTTTAGGGTTGATTCTAATTGAGGTAAAATTATAGTAATGTATAGGTCATTGCCCATATTTTTTTTGGGTTCAACTAATAAGATTGTTCGGGTTAGCTTATACTTACCTTGATTAATCCTCATTCCGGTCCGGTCAAAGACAAATTATTAACGTTAGAACTAGAATATTCATGAGGGATAATAGGGATGATAATATACCGAAAAAAAAAACGGGTATTCGTCAAAGATCGAGAAACGTACAATTAATTTCGTAGAATATGTTGAAGCTGATTTTCTATTAATTGCTAGTGGGAGTAGGTAGCAGGTTGTTATCAACAAGTGGCTAATGGGCATTCTAGTCTAGTGAAGTAGATTCCCCTGTTTAAGTCATATTGCTGTTTTTTCAGGGTTATAATATTGCTACCCACCTTGGTCTTTCTATTATCAAACCAGTGCCGAGATAATATTGATGATTTGCAATCGGCAGAATTGTCTGGGGTAGGGCTCTTTCATAAACTCTAAAACCTCTAGGCTCAGCGGAGGACTTTTTGCTGTTTTGGGACTTTTTTCTGAGCCATTAGCAAGAAATATTGAATATTATGAGAGATACACAGACAACGGTCCAAACAAAGGTGTAGAGATCCATTATTGCAACAAGTTTCACCAGCTAATTGGCTCAGCAGAGGACATTAAGCTTTTTACTGTGGGTTAAGTAGAGAAAAGAGAATGATTAGCTATATCATGATCTTGGCATGAAGTGAAGTAGTTAATAGATGATGGAGAATTGGTTGTAGTATTAGGGTGAGATTTAACTAAATTAGATATTATAGGGTTGGGTATAATTTTTTGTAATACTGGTTCAATGCTGTAATGTTTAATAATACCATATATACATAGTATCGATTAAATCTATGTGATAGGTGGTATAAAATTAGTCTTGCTTTATACTCAAACCAAAAATCCTTTCAATCCTTTAAAATAAAATTAGTCTTACTTCAAAATGTTTGATTTATTTAAAATATTAGTTTGAGTTTGGGCTTGAGTGGGTACGGAGGAAGCGGGAACGGAGACGGAGATTAAAAATTTACCCGTGAATGAAAATAAGAATGAAAATTATAACCGTTAACGAGGGTGGACTGGGGATGGACGAAATTTTTTTAAATTGGTACGAGGATTGAGACTACACCCCGTCCCTACTTCAGTTCACTGACATTTCTAGATAATCTCTTGTTTGTTGGTCTCAAAGGATTGGTACATTTCATACTCAAGACATTTAAATTTAAAACTCGTCTCTGATACTATTTGAGCTATCATAGAGCTTGTTTAGTATTCAAGAGTAAAATTATAGTCAAATTTACAAGTTTGTTTAGTATTTTTCAATATGGCACTGTCAATTTTATGTTCTCTCTTTCAAACCCCCCACAAATTGACCCCAATGATTGTGGTTGTTAGAACATTGTCGCTTCCCATTTAAAAAAAAAATGCTTTAACTTATGCAGAAAAAATGAACCGTAGTGTGAACGATCGAGGGATGGATGTTCACCTACCGTTCTTTATCTTTTTTTTTTTTTAGTTTGATTGGCGGATGGTTAAAAAGCACCATATGATTGTTGGATGCTGATTCATGTGTGGTGCCCACCACAGGACCTCATACATCACCATTATTCCCCATAGATGAATCACAACAAGGTGCAAGTCTTGGTCACAATTCAATATTTGTTGCTACAAAAATATATATTCTCTATAATGCTATGTAATCATGCATGAAAATGCTATGTGCCACGCCACTACTTGTTCTTATCATAGCAGGTTTGTGTGAAGGTAGTGTGACATTTGTATGGGAAGCCAAAAAAGTTGCGTCTCTATCATCCCTCTCATTTGAACTATTTCTGTGTGTACATCTGTCTCGTATCCGTTAATAATAACCATGTTTTTAAAAATATTTTATAATACTAATAATTGAGTATTTGATCGTATAATATTTATATTTTAAATAATCATTTATTTTTTTTAATTACAAAATTTAAAATTAGAGTTGACACATAAAATAAGAGAGAGGTAAGCCTGGGTTAACGGAATTGTTTAGTATGAAAGAGTGTATTAATTGAATTATCTAACCTTGAAAGGCATGAAAAGAAGATGTTTTTAGGTGGAATTTTTTTTTTGAAATAAATTTTGTATCGTTAGATAAAATTAAATAAAGATTAAATTAATATTAACTGTTATTGTGCTTTTATAAATTGTGCAACTCAAATTACTAGTTGTAATATTTTTGCAGCGGTTTTTTCGTCTGTTTATTGTTTATTCTTTGTCCACTATCAGACGTTCAAGAAATTGTATAGCTCACCAACTGACTCGAAAGGCTAGAATAGGTGGAAATATTGATGTTTGGAAAGAGACGGCACCAGATTTTTTGATACCATCTTTTCTCTTGGACTTAGCTTTTTAATAAAATTTCTATCGTTTCAATTCAAAAAAAAAAAATTTAAATATATTCATATCCAACTACATTGTTATTAAATAAGAATTATATATATGAGTATATATATTGCTTTTC